AAAAAAACAGAAAAAACAAAGAGCTCTTTTTCAGTATGATGATCTCCAAATACGTTTTGGTTCGTTCTCGAAATGTTCAATTCAGAAAAGTTTTACTATTATCAGATTTGAATAGCTACGATTGTACAAACTTTCCCATTTGAAAGTGCATGCTATACTTTTGATAGGAACGGTTGAACCCAAGCGTGCACATAGACAGATAATATAAAATATTTTTCTAAAGAATGTTGTTTCAAATTTCAATTTAATTCTTGGAAGAAAAGATAGGTGATTACTTATTGATAATGATTTCTTATTTTGTGTCCCCATTCTCCTCTCACCCATTTCTTTCCACAGTTTTTTAATTAATATACCAAATGCAATAAAACGCTATGGACAAATAGGAAGATCTTTATTTTATTTTTTTACATTAAACTAAATGTTTTAGTGGATGAGCCAAGGTAAACCAACCACATAGCGAGTCAGAAGAGAACGGTCTAAAAGGGCTTCTATTCCGTTGTCTCGTCAATCGCTCATTTTCGTTCAATATATACTTTTGGTGAATTTTGATAATGGTACATAGATTGAACAGTATCGCGGTACGATTTGATAATAAGTTATCGATCGTGTGTATAGGTAAGCCGATCTATTCAGCATCAAAGCGCGATGATAGAGATGAACTGAACAGATAATGATCATATACTTTCTTGAACATGCAAATTATAACTGAACAATATAAAATAGTAATTGATAAAATGGCGTGTAGCTAAATATCAGTGAATCTTTTTTTTTTACTACCCATATTTGTAATGAAGAATCAAAAACACAAAAAAATCAAAGCAAAAATGAAAAAGAATTATTTGTGTGGCGTGCGGTTCAGCAATTGACAAAAACTGTTCAATTCAATACATCTGTTCATATAACCGATATCTCATATTATAATACGAACGCTGAGTTAGAAGACTATGTACCTGTAAGCAGCTTTACGTACTCGAACTCGTTCTATCTACTCGATTCTTCATCACCCGAGAGTTATACTGGAACTATCGCTCTGAGACATAGATTTGTTACCTGAATAAGACAGACATGAGACAATAATTGATTGATTTTTATCCATGATAGCAAAGAAACTGACACGATGATAATTAAAAGTTAAAAAGTTCAGCATAATTATCCCCATATATATAAACTAAAGAAAGAAAGAAAATACTTTTGTACACTAAACGAAACTCATCAACAACATTTATTTTCTTTTAAATAAAAAGATAGATATTTTGATAATACACGTCTAAAAGCACGTATAGCAAATGTGACAATTACTTCTCTAGGTGATAGACTCTGCTCCTTTATTGTTTTTGGTACGAAAGATGAACTCGTGGCTTTTCTTACTGCTGTCAATATCAGGAGTTTGAGCCAAATTAAATATATAACGGAAATTCAACCGAAGATAATCCAAAACTTTTATCTCTGTTTTTTATCCTCTAGGCAAATTGGTGCAAGCGAGTTATTTATGTGATCTTTTTGTGAAAAACTACAGTTCTTACTTAAAAATTTCACTTTCCACTACAAAACAGGACAACGTAACCTAAAGACCTGTAGTATCTTCTGAAAAATGGTAGATAACTGATCAAATTTTCTCTTTGTTTTGTTCAATATGAGTACGATAAGAGTATGTTCTATTGAACAATTTTTCTTCATGATTATTTTTGATTGGTTGTTCACAATATAAAGATGTGAAGATATTTTTGCTTTCTTTGATTGGTTCATTGAATGAATGAACAAACACACAATAGTAGAATTTTCTATTCTCTACTTGAAACGCCTTTTTATCACGATAGTCGACACATGCTTTAAAAAGATCACTTATAATATTTCAGCACACCATATATACTTTGATAAATATAAAAATGTTCAATTTGTAACAAATTAAAAATGTATGTGCCCGTAAGCTACATTTTTATTCTCTTTTTTTAGTTTCATCGTACGACATTATCAAATTCTCGTTCTGAAATAAATTGAAGTAGAAACATTCAATAATCATTCAACTTTTATGAAATAAATTTCATTAAAAAAATGTCAGAGATCATCGAACAAAAATCCTCAATGGCAACGGCAACACCAACACCAAAATTTAGTAGAAAACGTTCCGCAGCAACAACAACTGTAAATTTAAAACGTTCAAAATTAAGAAAATGTTCTAAATCGGGTAATGATAGTAGCAACAGGCACGAAGAAGATACACGTTTACCATTCAATGGTACGAGACTAAAAGAATGGGAAGAATACGAAAAATGGAAAGAAGTTCGTGGTGATATTGAACCGACAATGAATTATGTTGAAGTAACACCAGAAGCTATTGAAGAATTAAAAAAAATTAAAAATATTATTGGAGATTATATTTGTCAATTATGTAAAGTTAAATATGAAAATGCATTTCAATTAGCTATGCACAAATGTCCCAGAGTTGTACATGTTGAATTTCGGTAAGATAATTGAATAAATCAATTAGTTTAATATTCAATGATTAAAGTTATCTTGTTCCTGAGTAATTTTTAGCATAAGGAAGCCAAAATTTACTACAAAAATCTTGTTACATACAGTGAACGTGATGCATTTTACCATCGGGATTTAATCACTGGTTTGAGATCAAACAGGAAGAATAAAAAGACTAAAGACGAATAGCGAAAGTTTACTGTATCGGAATTGAAAATCAGATATCTTTCTTTCACAAATAAAAACGAATGAAGGATGTTAGAAAGAGCTTTTTAACAATTAGATACTATTTTTTCCATTTTAGTTGTCCTGATTGCGATAAAACTTTCAATTGTCCAGCAAATTTGGCATCTCATCGTCGTTGGCATAAACCCGAGAATATTCGTACTCATGCTCGCTATTCTTCTAGATCAGAGTCGTGTTCGACATCATCGCTATCGGATACAATCAATGGCGATGAAGCAAAATCTCAAAAACAAGTAATAACAACTAGTAAAAATCTGACTCTTGAAAAGCCGCCTAAATCGGCAGTAAGAGAATCTGTCGAACCAAATATTCAACAAATTTCTAGTCTTATAACAAATCATGAATCAAGCACTAATACATTTCACAATACACTATCGTCATTGTTAGAACCAGCACGTAACAGATCTATTCACAGTACACCATTCCATCCTCTTCTCAATATTTCGTCTCCTGTTCATAAATCGTTGTTCAACGGCACACATCCATTAGATTTTGTTGAGCATAAAACAGTACAAAACTTCCCAACGAACATGGTACCTCTAAATCGAACATTTATAAATCCTGTGTTAGGACACATCTTCAATAGATCACACGATCATTCTTCACTAACTCGATTGGTTTTAGAACGTAATCATCAATTATTTCCAATGAATCATACTACCGAAACTACGGCATTTCGTGAACATCCACCTAACAACGATAACAAACATTTTCAACAATCTTGTATATTTTGTTCGGAACAGTTTCTTGATTTAAATCGATTGATTCAGCATATTCAGAAAAAACACGCTGTAAAGAAAACTAACTCTGCTAATGGTAATACAAATACGTCTTTAACAGTAGAACAAAATATTGAATGAGATTAAAGACATAATTTGTTTTTCACTGTTAAAATAAATTCACTACTTAGAGCGGTAGTAATCTGCCCTTATGTACCAATAAATATATAGGACACATAGATGTATGCACTGAAAAATTCTTTTGGACATTGATTTAACATTGACTGAGGATTTGTAGCTAAACTAAAAATCTTCAAAAGTTCCCTGATCATGTGCAGCGTATGTACAGATCGTCTAGACGTTAGCAACAGAAACATTTACTTAAATTTTGTGAGTTAGAATTGATTTCAGTTTAATCCATCAGTCCTATCAATTTTTGTTAAACATTAACAAACAATGTGTTTCAAAAATAAAGCGTTCAGAAAATGAAAAAACAAGCATTATCAAACAAAAATGCGACAAGCACAGCTATGACAACGGAAAAATAAACTCCATACTTGTAATAATTAATGAAAAAGTAGAAAATTTTGTGTAATATAGATCGGGAAGATCTACATGGATATAAACTCACATATCTGTGCGAAGACATACTCTTCAAACTTGTGCTCATTTAAAATCCATTTTTTGGTAGAGTCAGTAAAGATGATTTAGTTGCTGTTACAAATTAGGATGAAATTTGTACCAGAGGTAACTACACATACCGTGAGCTTATGGATAAAACTTCAGTGTTTACTTACACTTCATTGATGAGTTATAGAGTTTGAACGAACAGCGATGAGCAAAAAAGATTTTCCCATAAAAAATTTACTTTAATAAACGTATCTACACATGATTTTAAAGTCTACTTTGGAATGTGTAATATCCTGTGCAGTTAACTTTAAATTGGGAAAATCTAAATGATAAACAAGCGACTTTTCTCGATTTCGAAATGAATATAATTAACGGAATAATACAAATCAAACCATATGATAAACCGACCAAGTTCGGTTTTAACATTGTCAATTATCCGGATTTGAACGGTAATTTTCCAAAGGTAATGGGTTATGGTATGGTGATAGGACAGTTACATCGCTTATCAAACGTTTACATGGATTATAAAACATACTTTACGGTAGACTCCTGCGGGGCAAAAAAGAAATTACCGACTTGGGTTTATGGGCCCAGAGCAAGAAAAAAATTTCACGGACTCGGACTTACGCGGTCGAGACAAGTTGCAGAAAAATGTTGTCCCGTAAGTTTTGCCTTTTAACTGTATATGTGCTGCAGCTTCAAATGTTTAATTCTTGTAATACTATCAAGTTAAAACCGTAATTTTATAATAACTAAAAATTCACCTAGAGAGATGAAATAGTCTGAATTTAGACTTGAAAAGATCTAAAACTAGGTTTATAGTTCTTTCCTTTCGATTCTGAGGTAGTGAGTGGATGTAAAACATTTTTTTATACAGTAACTTTTAATTGTAGAATCAAATAAATTAGACTTAAATTTTCTCACGTCGATTTTTTGCAAAAATAAGTTTGAGACTTAAGCGTCTTTTGTAGCAGTTACGGTTTATCACAACAGAAAAATATTTTCAAAAAAATACGGGACAAAAAAGCCAATAAATTTTTTTCATGGGTCAGACGAGTTCGGGACAACATTACTTGCTCACGGGCTCGGGCTTACGGGACGGGACAAAAATTTTTATGTTCGGGCTCGGGGCAACAGAAAAGTCTGTCCCGCAGGACTCTACTTTACGGTGGTTAAAACTATGTACATGAAACTTCTCTTACAGGGTTATACATCCGAAAATTTCATTAAAGTGCTAAAACGATTTTTTAAGAAGAATGAGTCGATTTTACCATTTAAATGTCAAGAAAAACAGCTGATTAAAGATCTTGTGAAATAATTTTACACTACTTTTTAACTGTTTGCTTGTTTTTTATTTTTATTTTGTTTTTTATTGTGCGAATAACTGATGACCGCAAGAGGTCCTAGCAGTACATGAACATAAAACACAGCAAAAACAAAAACATTAACAAAAATGAACATTGACTGATATGTACACATCCTCTTAAAATAATAAAAATATTAACAGTTAAGCAACAACCTACGTTCTCTTCCTATACATATTTAGTATTTACAAAAAAAAAATTTTGTTTTTAGCACTTTTAAATATAAAAATATCACGTAATACTATACATGGGGAGAACACTTAGAACGTTTCAGAAAAATTTTGAAGAAGAAGAATATCTGACATTTCGTAATCATATATTGAATAACTAGCACTATTTGACGCACACCATTCTATACACTTTTCTAATACTGGTAAATGATCAACAAATCTTTTCGACTAGAATAGACATTTAATTGTTTGCTTGTTTTAACCCGTAGTTCAGCACCTTCGCAACATAAAATTTGGCCATTATCACAAAATGTCTTCTCAACAACTAACAACATCATCATTTCTCAGCATCATATCAACCTTCTGATAATGCAGTATTAGCAATAACATCTTTTAGCTAAGAGAGCATCCGTACACATGAAAATATAGTACGACGATTAAAGCTCCGAAACTATCTGTGTCTGGTTCTTAGCTGATGAGCTGCAATCCCTAGCAAACATCACCTGTGAGAAAAATCTAGATACATTTCGTCTGTAATCGGGCGATACAAAACTAGTTGTCATGTAGATTACTAGTTGAAAAAGGGACTTTTAACTAGATGCGTCTACATGCGTAACTAGCAATAGTTAAATCGATCGATTATCGTGCGATAAATCGATAGGGCAACTAGAAGAAATCTAGCAATCGCTCGATTACTAGATTTTCACTGTCGTCATCCAATAGTTACAATCGAGTAAAATCTAGTAATCTAGATGAATCGGGCGATACTAGATTTTTTTTGACGATTGGGAAGAGAAGAGAAGAAGTGGTATTATATTTAAATATACAGCACATTTTGCGGATATGTCCAAATCTCTCAACCTTTAACTTAAATTTGAGTCGATGATTCTTATGGTAGACTTTACAAACATTTCTTCACTTTTAAGCAAAGTTTTTTTACTCAAGCTTAATATCATAATGCATCACATATCTGCTGTAAGGCATGACGAGGTTTTTAATTAGCTAGAACAATCGGTGTTCTAAAAGTTGTTCACAAAACTTTCGGATCGAATATAGAACCTAGTTTTCAGCAATTTCGATGGACTTTTCACATAGTGCATTTCTGATTGAAAACTGTTTTAGCTGCTCAAATCCATTTTCAAACTTCTTTTGACTACCTTACTTTAGTGAAACTTCTTGTATCCAAGATCTTGGGTTAAGAAATGTCATAAGATCTTGGAAAAAACACCGAGAAGTCAAGATCTTGGATTCTTGAATCATTTATTCAAGATGTTGTAAGATCTTAAGTGAAAAATTTTCTTTACATTTTGTTTTCATTTATGGCAACCATAGCCATCAAATATACGATCATATAGAATCATAGGTTCTTAATTAAACAACTATGGTCAAGAACGAAAAATTTCGAAGTTACTCTAAGTGTGAAAATATTCGCACTTATATTTACACAAGAGTGTAAAACAAAACGATGATTCAAGAATTTCCAAGATCTTGGGTACAAGATGCAATCACTCAAGATTTTAATCAAGATCCTGGTACAAAAAGTCAAGAAATTACAAGATGTTCAAGATCTTGACTTCTTGAAATTTCTTAAATTCTTATATTTTCTTATCAAGATCTTGAAGCAAGATGTCATACTGAAAAAATTCAAAAAGTCAAGATCTTGATTACAAGATCGTTTTACTAGGGTTTAGGCTTGACTGGTTAAACAAAACATCAAGACAAGAAGTCTTCTCGAAATTATGTTCATCACTTTCTTTATTCATATTGTAGAAGATGATCGTACTGTTTTGTTGAATACACATCTTGTAAAAGATAATAGATCGCTTAAACCTTGAACTGATGATATATCGATATTTGGACAAAAATTGTTTGTTTTTTATGTTGCAGGTGTCACAAGTGACCAGAGTAAATTGTGTCACCATACATAATCTTAGAATTTATAACGTGATTGTATAACGATTCTTTACATACACTGTGAAAATATAAAAGGTCAAAATTTACATTGATTCTTTTTCGAAGAACAGACGAGCAAATCTCAAGATAAATCTATATTATCTTCCGCACTTTACGTTTACAAACTACCAACATAAACATACAGCATTCTAGTTGTTTTTCTATCTTATAACTAGTACACATCATTTTGGTATTTTGTCTCTTCTATTGTTCCCTATAACATTTTTGAAAAATAAACGGACGTTGCCCAGACGACCATCTTCTTTCTTCTTTCCATTTTAGGTCGGTATTAATTGCAAATGTGAAAGTGTGTATGTATATGTGAGTACGATATTTCATATACGTGCGTGTCTTCATATTTCACCTATAAAAATAACTTTAACAAAATTTTTAGTAGTCATAGTAGTATATGTTACTGGAGTTCTGTATCTGTGATGCGATTTTTCTTTGTTTTTTTTATTCTGATTTTTTCATCTCTTCCCTCTGTAACTGTTGTTCTACTAATAAGAGCAAGTCTTCAGCATTATGTTCAAACATTAAGCAAACACATTTGAAATAGTTGTAAAAACATCTTATAATGTTTTATTTGAGATTTATAGATATGAAAGATATACTATGAGACGATAAACAAGCAGAAATTGAACTAAAATACTATTTCTCAATCAACGAATTGCAATGACAGATTTGAAATTAAAACAAATATAATAATTTAATTCAGAACTTGTGTTGGGTATGTCGAACAAAGAACTAGCACTAAAGACAAAAGGAGAAGATTTATTGGAACTTGCACATAGATATCGACAGATTTTTTTTAATCGAAAATATAGGCTCAAGATTATCTTTGAAATAGACTCATCACAGAATGAATATGTAGACATTTAAATTAAGTAAAATATGTTTAATGAACGTGAAATAAAGATTTTTTTTTAGTCTATCATAATGGCATGGAACAGCAGACCATTATGACTTATCACAAGCGGGTTTCAGTCCTCACTGTTACGTTAGCTGCAGTTGCCGTCCTCATCGTTTTCGGATCCATCGCTGCGTTTATTTATGTTACTAGGAAAGGTAACTTTCTGTGATTCACTATTCACTGTTCACTGCTTTGCCAATTGAACAAACTTGTTTGTTTAGAAAAACTATTAAAAAAGCTGCATTTGGTTGCAGTTACCGTTATTCTTATTGTCGAATTAGGCTTTTTAATAGGTGTCATTAGTTGCTGTACATCTCAGTCAAAAAGTTAGTCCCTTTATATAATTCAAAAGAAGTTTGTAATTGAGTTTATAACATTCACTTTCAGGTACATTTGGTCAGGCACTTGCTGCATTTCTTATCGTTTTATCATTGATAGCATTAATGACTCTGATATACTTTTTACGTACGTAATAATTATATAAAACAGAAGCAAATCAAATTTCAACTATCGTCGTTTCTGTTTAGTGGAAGATATTATCAAAGAGCGAATAGAACCACATCCACTTAGCGGATTTAAATCCTATGAAGTTCGAGAGTTCAGTTCTGTTAGCCGTCAACCGTCAATACACAGTGAGGCAGCTGTGCCAATTCCTACTCCCACTCCGTTGACACCACAACCACGTCTTCCAACACCTCCGATTCCTACACCACCTAGAAAAGAATCAATATCAGCTATAGTCCAGAAGCCTGTTGTCGATGTGAACAAAGTTCGTCAAGGTAGATTATCTTTTAACCGTCACACTCTCTATAAATATCATGTATTGGACTACAATTTAGAACTTCTACTTGCAATTGATCAAAGAACAATCGAACGTTTGGAAAATGCTATTCAGCAAGTAAAAGACAACAATTTCACACAAGAATTAAAATATGAATATGAGCGTGCATTAGAAGTACTGAGTCGATTGATGAAAATTGAACAAATGAAGTAAGCGGAAGCAAAGTAACCAACCTATTTTGGAAAAATATGTATAGCACACATATGAAATATAAGCTATTCTATGCCTTCATTCTCTGAAAACTACTAAAATAAGATTAGAAAAAAATGGTCAGAAATAGCATTTTTTATAGAAGATTGTTTTAGTGAATGGACGGATATACAAAAGATCCGGTATGTTATGATTTTATCCTTATTTCTTGCTTTAGTACATAAAATTGTGTATTGCGGTTCATCAGCACCTTGAAATCTTGCTAATGTCAGCGAAAGATCGTGTAATTCAGTGTAAAAAGCAAAAATTAAGGATAAAATCAAGCATGATTTTGCACAAATCGAGAATTTTATCGATAGTGCATGTTGTTCTGAAGTACGAATTTTTAGCACAATACCCCAACGAAAATACTTCACGATAAAAGAAAATGTACTTTTATCAATTCACATGTATTCTGTGATGGGAAGAGAATTGTACTTTTTTTCTATGTATACTCTTTCTATGAAAAAAAGAACAATTCAACACTAAAACAGACATCGTTTTGCGTGATAAGTAGAGTCGTATGAAGTAATTCCGGCCACTTGCACAGAGTTTCTTAGTATTTTGCGTATTTCTAAGGCATTTTTAATCGGATAAGCGTGCTATTGAATATGAAGATAAAACTAACAGTTCTCTATGCGCTGATGTAAAACTCCCTCTGCATTTTCGACCAATATTCAAAAGGAGACAGGAACCTCCAAACTGGTCAAAATTCCAGCCAGTCGTTTCAAATACATGGAGTCTTCTGCAACAAACCTATGGTACTTTTCAGAAGTAGATTTCTGATATTCTTCAGGTGAAAGGTATCCGTCATGTCAGTACCTACACCATATGTGAAAATTGTATTTCAACAGCGAAAAATCAGCAGGCTTTATGATCTTAAATATTTTGATGTAATTTTACACATATTATGGTAATGAATTTACACAGTATAAATATTCTCATTAATTATGAGCAATTCATGCAAAAGTTTCTGTGTATATTATGGGCTGTACTCTTATGAGTTGAGTAAAAAGATGAGACATGAAATTCGTTTAAAATAAAGGAAGATAATATCGAAACTAGAGTTAGATGTTTATGAAACAAATATCAAAATGCTTACGAAAACTCATTCAAAAACTGGTCTGATGCCTTTAATTGATTAATGAGTACTGGCGTGCGAATTTGATTAAGGTAAATGCCCACCATCGCGCAAAATATGATATTTCTGCCATATGTATAATACAATAATTACTGATTATAAAACATAAACATTGTATATATTAATTTTTGCAATATTAAATAAGTAAAATGAACTAGATATCGTATTTTGCGCGATGGTGGGCATTTACCTTAATCAAACTCGCACGCCAGCACCCATTAATCAATTAAAGGCATCAGACCAGTTTTTGAATGAGTTTTCGTAAGCATTTTGATATTTGTTTCATAAACATCTAACTCTAGTTTCGATATTATCTTCCTTTATTTTAATCGAATTTCATGTCTCATCTTTTTATTCAACTCATAAGAGTGCAGCCCATAATATACACAGAAACTATTGCATGAATTGCTCATAATTAATGAGAATATTTATACTGTGTAAATTTCGACCAGTTTGGAGGTTCCTGTCTCCTTTTGAATATTGGTCGAAAATGCAGAGGGAGTTTTACATCAGCGCATAGAGAACTGTTAGTTTTATCTTCATATTCAATAGCACGCTTATCCGATTAAAAATGCCTTAGAAATACGCAAAATACTAAGAAACTTTGTGCAAGTGGCCGGAATTATCCCACAAGACTGTATTTTCAAAGTGCCATTATCTATCATACATAAGAATTTTGATTAACAATTTCTTTCTTGCAGGATTAAAGTATTGAGACTAAATCAAGCAACAATAGCAGAATTACATAGTTATACAAAACCACCAGAAGAAGTTCCTACGGTGATGAAAGCAACATTTTTACTTTTGGGTCATTCAGAAAAAGATTTACAGGTGAAAGCAACACATGAGGTGTATATTGCTAAAGTATTAGCAATATAATATTTATTTTAGGACTGGTCCCAGATACAAAATCTTCTTGGTCGATTAGGGCGAGAGAGTGTGAGAAGACGATGTTATGAATTAAATCCATTGGGAATACCGGTTGACAAAGCACGAGAAGCAAAAGCAATTTTAAGAAATTACGATTTACTACGAGTTAGTGAAATATCCGTGGGTTTATCAGCGTTTTACAGTTGGGTACGTGGAATCTTTATAGTTTGGACATATATAAAACAATTTACATCTGCTTGTTTTCTATAATTTATTTCAGGCAGCGACAATGATTGAAGAAAGAGAAAAGTTGCTGGAATCTCAGCGTCGAATTCGATAGACCTCGTAAATAAAATTCTACTTTATTTTTTTCCAATTTCACCGAGTAATTTCATATTGAAGTTTTTATCTGAATGTTAGTTCTATTTTGTAATTATATCACGGAATATTATAGTCGTCAAAAACAATACGGCGTAATTATTTTTACACGTTTGAGTGTGAGTGTGAATGGTTAAATGATCCGTTCAAATGGGGTTAAATTATAATTTATTAAATGCTACAAAGTTATACTCATTTATTAGAATTAAGCTTTCTCTATTTTTTTTATTTTGTATTAATAAATTACTAGATTAGATTTCTGATCCTAAACTGTGAATGCCTACCACTTATTTATCTCATCGCTTTTTTTTACCGATTATTTACGAATAACAAATACATCTCAGAGTAGTTTTGTTGATTATATAGAGGTTAAAAAATGGTATGAAATCTTATAATAATGTGTATCTATGCCGTTTTCTAGATGCAATTAGTCTTGCTTGTTTTAGCGATCGAAGTACGTTGATAATTATATAAATAGTAAGTACTATGCCAAAAAATAATGTGAGCAATGATAGAATTTTTGAAGTAGATCCATGAGTTAGCCATTGAATCAATTTTGTTTCTTGAAATCGTACACGCATCGAATGAATAAATGTCGACAGGCTATTACTAACTGGCTTTATTTCAACTGTGGGAACGTATGAATCATTCATATAAGTAATTGTCGTGTAATTGAATATGGGGATATCGACAGTTGTTGTCATTGCGACTGTGGACAGTGTAGTTGATTCTAACGTCGAATTTCTCAAGTTCTGTAATGAATCGGAGTAATGAGTTATCTTCAGTGGTTGAGTTATGTCACAACTAGTCGAGCATATACGACCAATACAGGTTAATTGTAATTCAGAACGAATTATCATCTGACAGCCACCTACACGAAGAGAAAAAGATAAGATTCATTGAAATCATGGTACCTTTTTTCGAAATTTTACAATTCTTATCATTTTGTCCACTAAATTTAGTTACTTCTAGCTTAAAACTGTTTGCTTATTTTGTATCAACTTTATAAATGATTGAGTAAAACCTTTCTATCGAGTCTGTCTTAGAAATAAAAACGCTATAGTTTACAGATATTAGGTAGCACGACTAGGTAAACAAACATTTCTTACCTGTTTTATTCATCAATGAGCAGCAATCAAAATCGCATGATTCTAATATTACACTGTTTGGATTCCAATTGTAAAGCATTCGCTTTGAATACATATTATTCGAGGTGCTGTAATGACTATTATTTAGTGAATTGCATACGATTGTTTCAATAAAATACGTTTGATTGTCATTATGTAATGCTAGTAGATAACGAATAAATAGAACAAAAACAAAGTAGCAAGTAACCATTCTATTTTCCTTTTAAATCGAAACGTTATGAAACGAATTAGGGTCTGATTTTTTTGTATCCTTGAATACGCATATCACATATGTTTTTTCATTATCATATTGCTCACCATTTACAGTATAGTACTACTGTGAATAGGATGAGAAAAAGAGAATAATGCATGTAAAAACAGCTGTTACTGTGTTAAAAGAAAAATAATAATATTTCTAACATAAAATCTGCGATTAATTGGAAAAAAAGAAAAACTGTCAGATAGTCAAAAAGTATAAAAAATGAATTATGATGAATAACGGTAAGTTTTAGTAAGTGGATAGAAATACTATAAATGATGTTACTGTCCGTTATTGTTGTCGTAAATTTGTACAAAACATTTAGTACCTAGAATCGATTGTCATCGATAATTGCAGTGTCATACTAACAACATTAATGGCGTTTATTTAATTATATTGCTTAGTACAGCGATTCACTCGAATATTTAAAGAATTCATAATTATTTTGTTTGGATTGTAAGACAAAAGTTCCCCATATGAAGGAAGTTGCTTTAATTTTGACGACATGTCGCGACACGCTTTACAGTCGACAGCATTTCGAAGTTTTCTTAAAAGTCGGCAATTGGTCGCAAGAGGTCGACGATGTTTCGTTCACTCTGATTTTTTTAAAAAGTTCGACTCGACGACTAACCGGCCTTCCATTCATTCACTGTTTTGTTGTACAGTGAATCAAATATATAACGGGAGTGTCATGAAATCCGGGAAGACTTTTTATCCGGAAATCCTACTCGCACGTGCAACTCCATTCGGATGTAATTTCACCTGAATTTAAAAGTCCGTAAAATTTCCGGATGAATTTCCCTCTATCAACTCCGATAAAAACTATTCTGTATGAGTTTTTCACTTGCAATAAAAAGCAATGGAAGTCCGATTGTTAATCAGTTGTATATTAGTCTTAGATCGTACGACAAGTAAGTTCAGTATGACTTAATGGGATAGGTCTACTATAGGAAAAATAACTCATATTTCTAATAATATTTAGTGATATTATTTTATCTTCTACTTTTTTAGTTCAAAAACGTAGTACTGTAAATATGACGAAAGTCAGAAAGTCCAAAGTAAACTATTCTCAGCTCTTTCAGTAGTTTTAAAAAGGAATAAAGTGAATCTTTTTCTAAATCTCTATTATATTTTATATGAAACACCCACAGCTCACTCGAACTGTCTTATAATGTAAAAATAGCAAAAGAACACTATTTCACTATGGTCAACACACACAATAGTGCACAGCAAAAACGTAGAATTCAAAACTATACATAGAAAGAAAAGAATAAGTTCATCTGAACTAGTAATAATGGAAGAAAGTAGTTACTACTTTGATGATATTTTTTCATGAAAACAATAGTTCGTTAAGCACACTTACAAATACAACACCGTTAAATTTTATTGTAATACACTCGAAGTTGCACTAAATTCCAGTTTCAAATAACTATAGCAGTCTACAGACATGACAGAATAATACTCTAGGGTGTGCGGACATGCCTTATGAATGACCAACTCCAAATGTACTTTAATAATGAAACCACTAGTATTAATTACTATTATACTCTATGACATGCGGACTTGCATTGTTTTTTATTACAAGTGACAAATTGACTTGAGAGATTTTTTAAGAAGCTACCGGAGTTGATTGAGGAAAATTCATCCGTAAATAAGTCATCCGTATTCCAACATGTCCGGCAAATGATTCATCCGGACATGCTGGATTCTGGATGAATAGTTTTCGGATGAGTTAAAAAAAGGATTTTAATAATCCGAATTGCATGACACTTCCTCAATACATAATAAGAACTTCGACTTCAGTTTACTTTAAGCAGATTTGAACCTCGTACCTATGAATTAAAAGGATTGAAACAACAATCACCGATATATCGCGACTTGTCGTCTCAAATGTTAAAAAATCACCAAAGTCGACGACTTCTCGCAATATGTCGCCGATATTTACCACATAGAGAAGGTGCACGCAAGTCAAAGATTCAACACTATCTTTTTCTGAATAATTTATACATGGTTGGATAGAGCTGGTTAAATCTGAAAATGTGTGTTTCAACCTTCCCACATGCTTCTGTAGAGAGAAAATGTCGAAAAATTGGCTTTGGTCCAGAAACTCGCAATTTTTCAATAACATTGACTTTTTAAACTCCTGTTATATTTTGAAATTTTCTAAGTTGTTTTTTCTTAGTTAGCATAAAAAACTGAACAAGAAAACGTGTTTTTGAGGTCGTTCACACACATACAACGTGGGCAGAAAAAACTTCGATCCATTGAAGGTTTAGAAACCGTCATATGTTCCGATTATAAACCTGTCTAGTTTTTCTGAGTAAGTTATGGAGTCATGTTTCACACCTCACTAAATTCGTCACATGAGCAGGACTAACGCGGAGTATCATTTTTTTAATTTTAATTCCATACTAGAAAATCGATTTTTTTGCATATAGCTAGAAACGGAAAGGTCGTTTTTCGTTAAGTCTCGAACTTTTGATTCTATTTTTATTCTGAAATCTTTATTTAGGTTAAAAAACGCGTAGAATGCAATAGACATAATTCTGGAGTCGCAAAACGTTTTCTAGAGTGCTTCTGGAAAACTTTTTCTTAAAAAAACAGGGTTTTAAACCGGATTTTGGTTCAATCAAACGCTTTTGCGTAAGAGTAGAGCCTAGATGTATATACAAGCCAAGCTATATCAATTTCTTACGTATCTCTTTCCATTATTTATGCTTAGCTATGAATCAACAGCAAATTAACCACAAAAACAAAAAAATTGTTCAGAAGTTTTACATATAGATAGTACTCGACCTCGACTACTTATGCTTCAAATGTGGGCTCTTGATATACTTCCTAGACCTAAATATGAACAAAAGAAAGGAGGGAGGCGTATTTGATCAGAAAACGGTCCCTCGTTCTTTTGCCTTATTTTGACTGGACTTTTTGTCGAAAAGACATTTGCACACATTGCCCAGTTGTTCTTATGGAAAATAAGCTTAAAATACGTATTTAATCTTGGTTGTTTTGAGATTCCATCAGAGAACGTCGTTCTTAGAAAAAGTAACATCCTTGAAAAATCCAGCATCCGTTTCCCATAAACCTTGGTATGACAAGATAGTCGGTGAAAGACTGAATAAAATCCTCTATGAACAATCCTTATACATCATTTCAATACGAAGAAATTATTTTTACAACAGACAAATTGATATGAAACGCGATCTCACGGATGTTTTAAGTACGTTTTTCGCCATATGCAAACGAGGATGCAACTTGTATTTGATATAGAACGATAGCCCTTGATCTACTCTACAAAATTTTATATAAAGAACCTTTAACCATCATTGGCCGAGTCAAAGAACTGAGTTCTCACTTTTGCAACCCTTTTTCACGGCAATAACAGCTGAAGTTATTGAAAAAGATTAAAGTGGAAAAAAATACCAGATTTTCAAAGGTTTCATTCTTGTCGTCTTTC